AAGTTGTTTGAATCAAATAATCACTGATTTGTTTTACCTGACGACGTTAACTATAAAAATGTTGCTTAAATATCAATAATCACTGTTAAAAACTCAACAACTTAGATTGATTGAGAACACTAAAATTTCTGACACAAATGAGTAAAAAAGAAAAACAGAGAACTGCTTTCATTCTTCACTTATATTTTTGCAGAGCAGAGCAACTTTTTCAAATGTCTGGATATTTCTTTCATTTTGAGCCCATATATGAATGGGTTGAACAACGGATGAAACACAACTGTTTGTAGTGTCATCAGTAGTCGTGCAGTCTGTGAAAAATCTGACTCCACTCGAGCTATGATCACATCATAAGCCATCAAACAGGTAAAACTAATCAGAACCAGCAGGTGGGGGAAGCAGGTCTCAAAAGCCTTTCTCCTGAACGCCTTTCCGCTTTGAAAGGATACGATGAATATCTTCGTGTAGGTAAAAAACATGAAGATTACAGGAAGTACTACAATATCCAATAAAGCAACAACACCAAATAGAGTCAGAGCTCTGGACCTTTCACACTGAAGCTTGTACATGACGTTGTTACAGAATATTCCTTTTAAATCAGAGTTACACAATTTGGCCTGAGCACTCAGGATGGCCTGCACTGCGATGTGACAACCAGGTATAAACCATGCCAGAACCAGGAGAGCAGCCACGGTGTTTTTTCCCATTATAGTCGGATAGCTCAGAGGTTTACATATCGAAACATGCCTGTCATAAGACATGGCCGCCAGAAGTAAGAACTCTGAACCGCCTATGGAGTAAAACATGAAAAACTGGAAGAGGCAGGCTGAGTACGAGATGACCTGTTTCTCAGATAAAAAGTCAATCAGAAGCTTTGGATAAACAGTTGTGCTGTAAATAGAGCAGTTGAGCAACAAAGCTGCAATAAAGACGTACATGGGTTCATGGAGGCTTCTGTGGACACAGATTAGGTACAAAATGGTCGCACTGCAACATATTATTACAACATACAATGAAAACAAAATACAAAGATACAAATATCTGTACCTGTGTGTGTTAATGTCTACAAACCCACTTAGAGTTATGTCTGTAACATTGAACTTATCCATCGATGTTTCAAATAAACAACTTTAAAGTTATTTTGAAGGTTCACTTGTAGTTGAAACCACTATGCAGTAAAAGCTAAATTCATCCAAACCCGGCCTCTGTTTGTTTTTTGATTGGCCTCTGTCCTGCTTGATATTTTGCCACCTCCAATAACTGCTGGTTAATTTGAGTCTGCAGGAAGTTTGTTGCTTTATCACGTTACCTCCACCTCTCAGGATGGCTCCCCTCATGGGGCCTGCTGTCCCCTATTACACAGCACATCATCACCCAATCTTTCTGCACAATAACATAAAACAAGAGATTAAAGAAAAGCTCGAGGCGGATGATGAAATAAAACCCATATGAATCATGTTGTCTTTGTTTTGTAATCTGTCCAGAAACAAAAGGTGGGTAGAGCACACTATTGCTACCACAAAAAACACTTTTTCATTAGTTTTGTTTTTATCACGCATGCCAAGGAACATTAAAGCATCACGTGAAAACATAAAAATACTGTAAATAGTTCTAAAATAGACTCATATGACACCACATGAATGTTGGCCTCCATCAGCACATCACATCATGCCATTGTTCTAAAGGTTGAGTTATTCACTTCACTGAATATTTTTCCACACTGGTGCTGATGTTGTGCCGGTGGAGGGATTTCATGCTTTGGGTCTTTTAGGGTGTTTAAATGTAAGTATTTGTGTATAACTGGAGGTTAAGGTCCAACAAGGTTCAGGTTAAGGAACACCAACAAAGAGTCAGGTGATCAAAACACCAAAAGTCTGAATAATAATGTAAAAATTAAATATAAGAATCGTGGAAATATGAGTCTGTTTTTATCTAAATTAAATTGTAATAAAAATGAGCATATTTTTAATACTACGGTAAATTTCTTGTACATGGTTCTCAGTGTGTGATCAGAAAGATTTGGGCTTTTGGAGAAATGTAGCTAATGATTATTGCTCTAATCTATTCATGGGGACCTCTGCACATTTTGTCCTTAAACTTCACCGTGCTAAGCTTTAACTTTGCCTCCACGCTTTTCTTTTCTTTTTTTTTTTAACGACTATTTTCTTTTCAGGAATAAAAAAAGCCTTTTAAGTTACAATTAACTGAGTTTTATTTCATGCCGACATGGTCAAAAGGGAAAAATCATGCTGTCGTGGCACTATTTCACATTCAAAACTGCTTTGTGCAGGAAAAAAAAGTTTTGTGAACATCAACACTGCTCATTCGGAATGCTCACACACAAAAATGTGCAAGTGTTAATGCCAAAATACTCAGCCACACGAAAATGGATAAATCCTCATTTCACTAAAGATGAGACTTAACTGCTAAGTTGTTTGAATCAAATAATCACTGATTTGTTTTACCTGACGACGTTAACTATAAAAATGTTGCTTAAATATCAATAATCACTGTTAAAAACTCAACAACTTAGATTGATTGAGAACACTAAAATTTCTGACACAAATGAGTAAAAAAGAAAAACAGAGAACTGCTTTCATTCTTCACTTATATTTTTGCAGAGCAGAGCAACTTTTTCA